AAAAAAAATTGCTTAAAATATTTTAAAAAATTTAGTAAAAACAAAAAAATATGAAAAACAAGAAAGTAAAATTTTTTGAAAAGTGTTTTTAAAAAATTGGAAACAAACATGGTGATCAGTTTTGAGAAAGTTCTTAATTTTTTTTTTCTTCTAGTTTTAAAACTAACTAAATTGGGAATATTCTCAATTTTAAACCTGGAAAAAATTGAAAAAAATTAAACCCAAAAAATATTGTTAGTTAAGTAAGTTAAGAAAACTTACTATTAAAAATTATTTAAATTGTAAATTAATAATAAAAAAAATATACTTTATTTTTATATAATTTTGTATTTAATATTAGTCTTGTTTCATAGATTTTGTTGTGTTGACTCTAGAAATATAAATTTTGTTAAAAATAAATGTATATTATAAAAATTATGATGATTTAAAATTTTGAAAATCAAAATAAATGCCACATCATCATATATTTTTTTATAAACAATTACAAATGATGAACAACTATTGTTTGCAGGATAATTTTATCTATTAAAAATTAATAGGAGTTGAAGGAGGAAAAAATGTTATCTAGCACTTAATAAGACTTGTGCGTAAATGCCCCTATTAATTTAATTAACCCTATCTAAAAATAATAAAAAAATGGGGCAAATTATACTAATAGTTATTGTAGTTTGAGACTTGTGTCATTTTGATCCACGGTCTTTCAATTATAATACATTTTACTCTGAATTTTGAATATCGTTTAAAATAAGGGCAATTGAAAACGTCTTTTCTTTTGCTATTTTAAAGGTAAAATCGTTAATTTGATAAAATATAAATTAGTTTCACAAAAATAAATATCAAAAAAGATATTTTAAAATTTTTAAAAATTATTTGCACCCACCAAAGATAAAATTATATAAAAAAGATAAATCTTTTAGATTTTTTTTTACCAAACTAATTTTTAATATATGTTTGGATGATAATCATGTAATGAGTGGTTATTTTTATTTATTTTTACTTTTTTATGGTTATTATGTAATGGATAGTTGTTTTTGTTATTAACATATATTTTTGGATAGTTTTCATATAATGGATGGTCAATGCTACTTTTCATTTTTCACTAGCTAAAGTATGAAAATATTATGCTCTTTATTTTACCTAACTAATTTTTCATTTGTGTGCTGCAACACCACTATTTTATTTTACATATTTATCCACACAAACTAGTTTAAAGAGTCTCCCAATACTCTCCACATGTAGCTAGCCCGAAATTTTTTTGTTCAAATAGCTATCATACTAGCTAGCCCATTGGAGTGAGTAAAATAATACCAAACTAGTTATAACAGCTAACGAGCCTCTTTTAAAGAGCATATCATCTTCAAGAGGATAGTTAAAAAAGGCTTGTTAGACATTTTAGCCAATGTAACTTTAATTTTGGGACTCCAATGAGCTGACTATTGGGCTAGCTACTTTACCATCTTACCTTTTCGTTGGCCACAATTGAAGAGCCCCATAGGCTCTGCAAACAAATATGTATGTATATGTTTTTTTGTATATTTATGTCTTGGATTTGGATTTTATATATTTTATATATGTATATGTATATGTAGCAATTTTGTATGTTCTTTCAATTCTGTTTGATGAATTACAGAATAACTTATTTTGTATTTTTTTCTCCTCATTCTACAAGTTTTGTATGTTTGTATGGGCAAATTTATTATTATTGCAAATTTACGTTAGTAAAATATTAGCGATTGGTATTTTTTGTTTTAAAAATTAGTTAAGTTAATTTGAATGATTAGCTAAAATAAAGAGTGTAGTTGAAGAACATAATAGCTAAAGTAATTAGGTAAAATAAAGAGTGTGCTTTTTTCGTATTTTAGCTAGTGAAAAGTAGAGAGTGTGGTTGGAATGAGTAAAATAACATAAAACTAGTTATTGTACTTTTAATGTGTAATCGATATGTGTAATCAATTTTTTGATTTAATGACATCAAAATTGTTATCATGTTTGAATTGAGTTTTTGATATTATTTTTTGAAAAAACAAAAACTAATTTAACGAAAAGAAATACAAAAAAAAAATTTAAAAAATATTTCTACTCTCCCAAAAGATAAAATTATATAAAAATGGCTAGTGTTTTTAATTTTTTTCACCAATTTAATTTTTAGTTTCTTAGAAAAAAAATTCTAAAAATATATTCTGAAAATTAAACCAAACAGAACTTTATAACTAAGAAAGTGGCAACATTATTTATTAAAAAATGGGTCATTACATTTCAAACAACATATAAATTAACCAACACAAAATAAGATGCATGACGACTTCACGCTTGAAATTGAGAATTTTTCGTTTGCAAATGAAATATATTTGATTGTCTTTATTTAGAACGTGATTCAAAATTCATGATCAAATGTATCATAATTGAAATATTAAGAATCAAAGTGATACAAATCCCGAACTACATTATTGTTAGTGTAATTTGCCCCTTAAAAAAACCAATTAATTAAGCCGCACCTTAATTAACAAGTGCGAGATTGCTGCATTTCTCAATCTGTCTCACACATAAAAACACTTTCACATATCACGCAGCTTTAAAGCCAAAAATCCTTTATATCTTAATTAAAGATGCTGGCTGTAGATGCCTGAGCTAAACAAACAAGTTTCTAACAAGATTTTGATGAAGTCATAAATAGCCTCAGCTTAGCTTGGCTCACTTCACTAGCAATTCAACTCCTAAGGCCTTGTAGCATCTCCAACTTAAATAATGTTAAAACGATTTATTTTATTAATGTTACATCAATATGTTAAAAAAATTCAAAATTTCTTTTAAAATGTCAAATCAAAATGTTTTATGTAAATCCTCAAAAGAAAGATGTAGACACGAAGATTATCTATAACTAAATTTTGTGCTATATTTGATACAATGTTACCTATATACCGATAATAGATAGCAAGCCATATGCCTTACTATTGGTGTGAAAATTTGAGAATTTTAAGGCAAAATACAACAATAACAAACCATATAGTTCACCATTGTAGAAGCTCTTACTTCTCATCAATTATATTTTGTACATCTAAACATAACGTAAATTAGTTACAAAACAAGGAAAGTGTATTGGGAGAGGTTGAACAATCTTAAGTGCAAATTAATAAATAAGAAAATACAAAATTTCTAGAAAAAAATAAAACAAATAAAACAATAATTTTTACTTAAATAAAATATAAAAAATTATGAGTAAATTACGCAAATAGTCCCTCTAGTTTACACGATATGTCAATTTGGTATCTGTAGTTTCAATTTGCTCGATTTTGCCCCTTGATTTAACAAATTGCGTCATTTTAGTCCAATAAATAACGGTTGTTAAGTTAATTTAATAAAAGGTCAAACAATGTGTCAATTTAGTACCTTTACTTTACACGATGTGTCAATTTAGTCCTTGTAGTTTCAATTTTCTCGATTTTGACAGGGACTAAATTAACATATTGTGAAAAATACATGGACCAAATTGACACATTGTTTAACTTTCTGTTAAATTAACTTAACAACCATTATTTATTAGACTAAAATGACACAATTCGTTAAATTAAAGAGCAAAATCGAACAAATTGAAAGTACAAGGACCAAATTGACACATCGTGTAAACTACAAGGACTATTTACATAATTTTTCCAAAAATTAAACATTAATGTTTAAAAAAAAATATCCAACATGTAAAAAATAAAAAAATAATAATTAAAAAATAATAATCCGACGAATTATTTTTCTAATATCAAATACTGAAAACCTATCAGAATTTCCCATAAGGGATTCATAATCCATAGGAGATTATGAATCCCCTTTCCATCTCTCCGAAACAAACAAGGATAATAAGGTCAAGTTTGGGAAGACTAAATAAGTGCACTTTTTAACTTTTTATGAAATATGGGTTGAATTTGGGTTGAGTTTGAAGTGATGTGTTAGAGAAATAATGCGACTTAAATAAGATAATGTGATTTAAATAATATAATAACTTTTTTACTTTTTAAATTTTTAAAAAAAATGTCAAACTTGACCTAAGTCACACCTCATTATCAATTTAAAACGGAGCTTATAAGTTGTACAACTGCAAACGACTTAAGCCAAGAAAGAAAAGTCACTCCGCTCCAATGGCTTCCAAGACCCTTCTTTGCCTCTTAATTTGCCCTCTTCTCTTTCTCCAACTCCATTTCTCATCAGCCCAAACTGTTGTTGAAGCTTCATATTGGTTCCCAGAGAGTGGTTTTCTAGCCTCAGACATAGACTCCACTCTCTTCACTCACCTATTTTGTGCATTTGCTAACCTAAGTTCCACAACCAACCAAGTTATAGTTTCCCCCTCAAACAATGCCCCATTTTCCCAATTCACAAGCACTGTCCAACTCAAAAACCCTTCTGTCAAAACCCTCCTCTCCATCGGCGGCGGAAAGTCTGACCAAACCGCCTTTGCTTCCATGGCTAGCCAATCCGCCACTCGAAAAACCTTCATTGACTCTTCCATCGAGCTAGCTAGGTCTTATGGCTTTCTAGGCCTTGACCTTGATTGGGAATACCCGAAATCCGCTTCCGAAATAAACAATTTCGGCCTCCTCTTCAACGAGTGGCGGTCTGCGGTGATGGCTGAGGCGACCGCTACCGGAAAACCGGCCCTATTGTTGACAGCAGCGGTCAATTATGCATCAACTGTTAATGGGGTGAATTATCCAATTCAGTCTATTGCAAATAGCTGTGATTGGGTCAATTTAATGGCGTATGACTTCTATGGGCCCACACGGTCCAACGTGACCAACCCGCCAGCAGCGCTATTCGACCCGCCGTCGGGTTCAGTCAGTGGAAGTTATGGGATCAAGTCATGGATTCAGGCCGGGCTAAGCCCAGAGAAGATGGTGTTTGGTATGCCATTTTTGGGATATGCATGGACACTTGTGAATGCTGATAATCATGGGTTTAAGGCTCCATCTAGCGGGCTGGTCGGATCGGATGAGGGGGCAATGGGTTATAAGCAGATCAAGGCCTTCATAACCCAGAACCAGGCCACAACAATGTACAATTCTAGTGTTGTTTCGGATTATTGTTATTCTGGAACAACATGGATAGGATATGATGATATCCAGAGTATCATAGCCAAGGTTTCATATGCTAAGCAACAGGGATTGCTTGGGTACTTTTCTTGGCATGTTGGAGTTGACAACAATTGGGCTCTTTCACAACAAGGTTTGTCTCAATCTATCTTGAAAAATTTAGAAATCTCCTAGGTGTTGATTTGTGATTATGTATTAATTTTAAGCGTGCTTGGTATGCCGTTTTACGGATATGCATGGAAACTTGTGAATGCTAATAACCATGGGTTTAAGGCCCCATCTAGTGGTCCAGTTGGATCGGGTGATGGGTCAATGGGTTATAAGCAGATCAAGGCCTTCATAACCCAGAACCAGGCCACAACTGTGTACAATTCTAGTGTTGTTTCGGATTATTGTTATTCTGGAACAACATGGATAGGATATGATGATATCCAGAGTATCACAGCCAAGGTTTCATATGCCAAGCAACAGGATTGCTTGGGCACTTTTCTTGGCATGTTGGAGTTGACAACAATTGGGCTCTTTCACAACAAGGTTTGTCTCAATCTATCCCAACCATTCATGCATTTTTTTAAGTTTACTCCAAAATTGTGCAATCTAAATTTGATCAACAATGTTACATAATAAGAATTTTTAATTAAAAAATATTTAAAATTTACAAGTGGTATTCATTTCAAGTGTAATTCATAATATCTCATTTTGGACATTATTTAAAATGTCGTCAATGCATTGATAAAATAATTTAAAGTGTGATCTGTGTGGGTGAAAATCTGACCACACTGCCCGTTTAGTGATCAGCTGGAGAGCACAAGCAGAATAGATGGCTTGAGTAACCTGAAACAGAAAGAAAAAGCTCCGGCGGTGGTTCTTCCACCCGGGGGCACTCCGACGATCAAGTCAGTATATCTCTCAAAGATAATCAAGTACTAAACTGAATACTCAAAGTATAAATTGCATACCTTAGACCCACGGGGAAACCTGAAAAACGCCCATCTTCTGAAACATATTCCTCTTAGTTTAAGCCGACATAATGGGTTTGTGGAGGCATAGGGTAAATACCCCAACAAAACTTGAATACTTTAGGCAAGAATTCTCTATCCCAGCCGACGTTCATCTTAAGCTGGCTGGGGATAATGATACCATCATGCCCACAGACCACACAATGCCTTTTCCGATAGTTGCTTTTACTAAATGTGGACTTCGGCTTCCACTCGATCCCCTTTTTCGTCAAGTTCTCCATTTCTATAAGCTGAACCCTATGCAACTTACTATCAATTCCTATAGGGTAATTAACGGTATTATTGTCTTAGCTAGGCAAGAAAACCTCAGAATCACCCTAGCCGACCTTCAATATTGTTATACCATGTGCCCTCTTGATCTGAAGGATAGGAGTTTTGTCTATTACCTTAAGCCGAGATCCACACAGTACAAAATTATAGCCGACCTCCCAGACTCCAACAAGGGGGCTGAAGATGATTTTCTCATTGCTTCTGGAAATTGGGAATTTGGCCCAGATGAAGATGTCCACCTCTACCCTCTTCCTCGAACAATCACAGAGGGCAAGAGTAAGAGCCCTGAGTCAACACTTAGTTGTTTTTATTTAAGGCTTTAATAATCTTTGTTTCTAACGTCTGTTTCTTTGCAGATCTTCATCAACCACCGAAAAATTTTCGTCAATCCTTCTTCTTGGCATGTTGGAGTTGACAACAATTGGGCTCTTTCACAACAAGGTTTGTCTCAATCTATCCCAACCATTCATGCATTTTTTTAAGTTTACTCCAAAATTGTGCAATCTAAATTTGATCAACAATGTTACATAATAAGAATTTTTAATTAAAAAATATTTAAAATTTACAAGTGGTATTCATTTCAAGTGTAATTCATAATATCTCATTTTAGACATTATTTAAAATGTCGTCAATGCATTGATAAAATAATTTAAAGTGAGATCCATTAAAACAATGCATTGATCATACATCAAGTGGTATTTAAAATTTGATATAAAAATTGAAAATATGTCATACATAAAATCATACATAATCAGGTGATAGTCTCATTTTTGCAATTTTAAGTTATAATAATGGGTGTTTTTATTTTGAAATGAGAAGGATAACATAAAGTCACATAATTATATATAATGTTTTGCATAAAAATTTTGTTTATTAGTCATCTAAATTTGGTCAACATTATATTATTGTTGACCCTTAGGCTTAGGAAAGAAAATAATTAAGTTCACTCACTGCACATTTATTACAGCAACCAAACAAGCTTTTAATCGCTTCCATGGTATTAATTGAAGCTTCAAATATGGCCTCAACGAATTTTTCATTTTTTATTTTAATAAATGTTTACCCTTTTTTTTTTGGTTTTAGTTTTAGTTTTGATTTTTAATGGTGTGCTTTCTATTCTCATTGCAGCCAAACAAACTTGGGGAACATGAAGCATATTCCTATCAGAGATGCATGTATTCTCACCAGGATTAACTAAATAAAAATGGGTTAAATAATGCCTTAACTTTGAAATCTAAGAGGTATTGTTAAATAAGATTAATGATTTATGATTATATTTGTTTACCAGTTTTTTTTTATTCATGGTTGAAGTTCAATAATTTCTTTTGTATTTGTAGTATTAAACACAGACCGTAACAGTTTATCCATACATTTAACATATAACAAGTGACAGTAATTTATGGTTGGTTTGTGATGTTCTAAATAAATGTACTTTTTGACTTTTTATAAAAAAAAAAATATGTAGAAAAGTAGAGAAAATAAGTAGAAAAGTAGAGATGAGATGTTGACAGATGTTAATTGATGTGACCCAAATTAGTGTATATACACAAAAAAAATATATATATATTTTTCTAATACATGTCAAACACCTACTTAATTACTCGTTCTATTAGGCTATATATTGCACTTGAGCATTACATATATATCTTCATCATTGTGCTTAGGGATCAAAAATAGGACAGGTCGGACTTACCTGGCTTGTAATTATTGTGTCCATGTCCCATATATTAATGGGTTTTTTAGACTTTAACTAGTTAACGAGCTAGTATGAGTCGGACTTATTTAAAAAAATTAAAATCATGTCTCACCCGTAAGTTCAAATCTTACGGGCCAAAATCAAACTGAACCGTGTTACACATTTTTTATTAGACTTATATTATTAAGTTCTACACATTTATTATTATTTTTTAATCATTCACATGATCAAATTAATTAATACTATAAAAACAATCAAATTATTTAGAAATTCATCAAATTAATAAATTATGATAATGTTATATGTAAAAAGTTGAAAGTTAGGAAGATATTACCGGTCACTGTCAAATTCAATTTTAACAAATTATGATTTTTTTTTTAAGTACAATTTACAATGATAATATGGGCTATCAAATGTTGTTTTTTTTTTTTTTAATAAAAGAAATGTTATCCCAGATAGGCAACCCAAGAGGGGGGGTGAATTGGGTTATTAAAAATTTTACAATATTAAAAATAACACAATATTCAGAATTTTAATAAATAAAAAAACAGAATAATAATTATCAATATAAAAGTAGAAGAGATAGAGAGAGAATCAAACACTGCGATTTATAGTGGTTCGGCACGCCAGGCCTACGTCCACTCCCCAAGGAACCTCCTTGAGAATTTCTTTACTATCAATTGAATAAATACACCACCAAGCTTGTGGATTTGGCACAGGACTTACTCTTATCTATTGAGCCTCACTCAACAATAAATGCCCTACCCTTACAAAATCTCTCACAAAAATAAGGAATAAGAATAAGTGGTAATTGAACCAACTTTTACAATAATTCTCTCACAAAGAGTAGATATGAAAGTGTAAGAACAAAAACTAGACTTAGATCTGAAAGTGAAAGAGAAGAATACAATTTGGAGCTCACAGAAAATTTTCTCTTCAAGTTCTTGATTTTTTCTCCACATCCAACACCTCTATTTATACACAAAAATATACCCGTTGGACACTCCTTGCTGACGTCATGGCTTACATAAGCACGCTCCTGACGTCATAGATGAATAGTAATTAACCCTATTTTTTTCAAAATAATATAATTAATCGATTTGTCAAAAGATGAATAGTAATTAACCCTATTTTTTTCAAAATAATATAATTAATCGATTTGTCAAAAGATGAATAGTAATTAACCCTATTTTTCAAAAAGTGAATAGTAAAGTTTTTTGAAAATATTTAAAATAATCATTTTTGTCAAAATAATATAATTAATCGATTTGTCAAAAGATGAATAGTAATTAACCCTATTTTTTTCAAAATAATATAATTAATCGATTTGTCAAAAGATGAATAGTAATTAACCCTATTTTTTTCAAAATAATATAATTAATCGATTTGTCAAAAGATGAATAGTAATTAACCCTATTTTTTTCAAAATAATATAATTAATCGATTTGTCAAAAGATGAATAGTAATTAACCCTATTTTTCAAAAAGTGAATAGTAAAGTTTTTGAAAATATTTAAAATAATATTTAACATAGACATTTTAAAAAGATAATATTATTTTATTTAAATAATATTTAACAAATATATATTTTTTAAAAAGATAATAATTTGTGTCAAATAATATGTATATTAACTAATATATTTTAGACATCATCAAAATTAAATAATATGATTAACAAGAAACAATATTGATTTTAATAGATTAAAATTGAATTTAACAATGTTTGTTTTTTGGATAATATTAATTTTTTTTTGGATGAGATAGTTTGAGTCGGGCAGATAAGATGATAAGGCTGAATTTACTTATGTAGGCTTGTACGGGCTGGGTTTATGGGCAGAGTCGGGTTTCAAACTTTTGTCCAAAGCCCTAAATCATCTTTTGTGGAATGAGATGGGCTGGACAGTCAAGCGGGCTGGGACAGGCTATAGAATGGGTTGGATAATACCAAATTTTTTGTCTACGGCCGTTTGATGACACCTAATTATGCTTTTTTGTAATCTCTTTAATGCCTATTTCGTTTTCTGAATATTTTTCAGAATCAAAATTCTAAAACCGTTGCTCATGTTCCTCCATGGAACAATAGATAGATTAGAGAACTTAATATTAGATTGAATTACTGGTGTATTGTAATATTATACAACAATTATCAAAATAAACACAAAAAAGTAAATTAATGAACAAAAAGACATGTTTTCACACTCACTTTCATTAATATAACTAGTTGAAGCATAAACACAAATTCAACCAAACATGGTTGTAATTCAATTTCCCTATGACTAATCAATATATTCTCACATCATCCTATAATAATCTAGGTTTAGTGTTTATCAATTTTAAAAAAATATAAGACTCCATATGTTAGCGAAAAAATGCAATAATAATTTAGTAGTTTGAAAACTTTATATTAATTTTCTCCAATAATTCAATCATTAATAAATTTAAAGGTGAGTTGTGTTTTCTTTGCATGTGACCATTAAAAGAAAGAGGAAAAAATAAAATAAAATGAATCAACAATAACATTACAAACGGGTTTTCTTTCAAAATAAAGGTTGTGGAGGAAAATTTTGCTTGGAAGTTTTTTTAGTAAAACAAATGAATTGATTCAGCTGTATTTACAGGTGAACATTTGTCCCAAAATGTATCATAATATTTTCATTTCAAAATAAGTCCCTTCGAGCATGAGCACGATCATGATCAGTGGCGGAGCCACAGAGGGTCCACGGGGTCACGTGCCCTCCCTGGGTTTTGGATTTTTTTTTTTTTTTGGCACGCGCAAACATAAAGAAAATATTTTAAATTAAAAAAATTATAAAATATTATTTAGAGTGAAACATTAATAACATTTTTAAAATTATGAAAATAATAGTGGTTGTTTTTTTATTATTGAAAATAAAGATATTATGATAAGCCATATTATTATTTATAAAAATTTCAATACAATAGTGATATCTATCATTATTGACATACAATTATAATTAATTTCAACGACTATATGGAATTTATTGAATTGTTAATTACATTTGATATATGGAGTTCATCCTCTATGTGTTTCTTTACTATTGGTTGGTGATATCATGCGTCAATGATGACGTGGTATTACTATTTTATTGAATTTTTATTAAAATTTTGTATAAAAATTACTATATCATTATATTATTTATTTTAAAATTTATATCCATGACTTTTTTTTTTTTTTGCTGTTTGAGAAGTGGGATTTTAGCCTAATTTAGGCTAAAATCCACAAAATATAAAATAATTTAAAATAACTAATAAAATAAAATGTCACATCAAATTTATAATAATTTCACTTTTTCTCTCACAAACATCACATTCAAGTACAAAAAAATCCAATCATCTTTCCAAACACAAAAATTTTAACCTACTAAAATAGTCAAAAACTAAAATAGCTTGCTAAGAGCATTAGCATCAACCTCTCTACAATGGCTTTGAAGCCATTGTGGAGAGCAAAAATTGTAAAAATGTGATCCATCAGCCTCGCTACACCCGTCAGTCATTTTGCCAACGCTACAGTTCCTCTCCTAATGAAGCGAACCACTGTTCATCGCTACAACAAGCGAATTAGGTGTTACCGGATGTCCGTCCGGAAGTCCGGAAGGACATCCGGCGGTGAACCAGCTGGTCAACCGGTCAACAGCAAATATTATTATTATTATTTAAGAATTGTTGGCAGACAACTCATCAATTTAATAAAAAAAGAAAAAATAACAAATACAATAAGAAAATAATATTTTAATAAAATTGATTGAGTTAGAATAGAGAATTTGATGCAGTGGGTACTAAAAAGGTGACTAGCTAAAATAACAAAATAGCTTTTTAAGCTCTAATTTGACTAAAAATTTGAAGAGGCTGATGCAGATGCTCTAAAATATAAACTTCCCAAACACCCACATTGGCCATGATATACTAGTTACAAATAATATATATATATATATATATATTTTTCTTGAAGTCAATCGTAAAAATTTATGTGAAATGTTTTTGTAAAAAATTTCAATGTTATAATTAATAAGTGTCCCTTTGATTTAATTTCTTGGATCTGCCACTAATCACGATTCATGTTAGGTGTCAGAGTTTGGCCGGAGTTTTTGGGGCCTTGGGCGAAACCAAAAAAGGGAGCCTATATTCATAAAAATAAAAAATAAAAATAATCTTGTTTGGCACCACTATCGCCGATTGAAACCAAAATGTATTCATTCTAAAGTACCAAACAAATAGAAAATTACCCAAAGGTATAGTTCAAAACAACAAAACAAACTAATTAATCAACAAATCTAATTAATAAAATGTTCCAGCGGTGTGAAACAAACATAAATGATTTCACATTATGTTAAATTGAAGTGTGGGATAACAATTTTGTTTCATCAACAATGTGAAACAAACATAAATGAAAAGGAAACATGACTGTATAATGAATTTTTCACACAAAACACACAATCCGCTTACTATTTGATATCTGATAGCAAAGAAATTATGGAACACAATTTAATGAAACAAAATTAGGGCAAAAAAATTAGGAAAATTTTATTCAATTAAAATATGATAAAGACATAGGATAAAT